CCGGATTATATGACAAATATGTTTAGGTTTGTCAGACAAGTTCATACAAAGACAACCCGATCAAGCTCTGCAAATGATCTGTATTTGCCTTCAGGAAATCATAAACAGATATATACAAATACGTTTGGCTACAGTAGTGTAAAGATATGGAACACATTAAGTTCAAACATTAGAGAAAGTGTATCTCTAAACGACTTTAAGAGGAAATTTTTAACAAATTATTTTTTAACTAGTAACTGATAATATTTCACTCTATTGTACATAACTTCAACTCATATTTTTAACTAAAATAGCGAGGGCCCTGAGGAAGATAAGTCTTTTGACTTACCAGGTATATTAGCTATGTAATACTTTTAACCCTCTGTAAATAAAGTTTATTGACTGATTGATTGATTGATTGACCTGATAAATGATAATGAAAACACCCGTCAATTTCAGGTGAATTTGCGGGTGTTTCAGGCTCTCAGTAATTAGCTAACGGAAGTGAAATTTGAAGCAAAGTAAAATATATATTTTAGCGTTCGCTGCTCAAAGTTTACGAGCGTTTCAAACATTATCTGTAAAATTATGTATATATTTGTGATTCCCTTTGAAAAGTTTATAAGTAATGTTCAACAATTGATAGTTAGGCAAGAATTTCCTGGTAACCAGGTTGGATACCAAGGTTTTAACATCTGGTATCCAAAATTGAAAACTGGTATCGTCAAGGACAAGGATAGCGCCAATCTCGAACCCTGCATAGGCATAGGACTAAATGCCTGCAAGGCGAAAGGTACATGTACTATGAGTAATAACAATCCCACAATTCCACTTATCAATAAAGATAATGACCTAGCAATATATTAATCACAATGAGTTCAGACAGATAGAAAATTGTTGGATCATATCTGACCTGGGTCAGATCACTCAGACAATTCAATTTCATCATTACTCGACATTGACATTACAAATATGACACAAACATCTTACAGTAATACATTATAAATACAGTAACAACAGCACACAACATCAACAAAACATTGAGACTTAAAAAACAAAAAGCAATGACATGCAATACAAAAACTAAACAACAAAACACATCACAGGAAATTTACACCATATGTAATGACTACAAACACACAAAAATCGCTTTCGGTCAAGAGTCATCAGAGTACACAGTTAGTGTACATCAAATTTGACTAGAGTTCCTCACAGACCTGTCAAAAGAGAAATTGAAAAAGCTTTTAATATATGAAAATAAGCAATGGCAATGCCACAATGCTGTTTCCTTGTATGTTGTTGCAGATTTGGTCAAGAGGCTAAAACAAAGATCAGAACATTCCTGTTCACACACTTTTTGTTTTAAGTTTGGGTTTTTTCATTCTTATTAAATACTTCCAACCAACTCACTACAGCTCATTGTCACACTCTAGAATACTAGAAGTATATTATTGCACCTACACTGTCACCAGACACCACCATGCTCAATCATAATATTTTGAACAATATCAAGCAAAAATTTAAAAATAATTTCAACCTACCTAGATGGTCCTGAGGGGGAGCGGGGGGATATGACCTTTTACTCCCAGCAACCCAAATCCCATTTTACCAGTCCAAAAATAGGAAATCCAGTTCTAGAGCTGTGCACCGGAGCTGCGGTATATTTTGCCGGAGCCCTCAGCCGGAGTTGGAAAACTCCGGCAAAAACTCTGGCAGACAAAATTATGAAAAATTATTTCATATTTCAATGAACATTTGGTATTAAATGGAAAAATTAAGTTGTTGTTTACTGATATATTACTGTTTATATGTTGTTTTACTATATATTACTATGTTGTTTACTATTAGTAGTGTTGTAAAAATGTGTTAAAAAAGATAAATTCTGAAACTACACTGAAATACTTTCGCCTGCTTCACTTTTAAATATGAAATTTCATTAAAGAGTTGTGACTGCCAGAGCTAAAATAACCAGAGTTTGCACAGCTCTATCCAGTTCCAGTTTTACCCCTTCAGGACCCTCTATCAGTCTACCTACCCTACATTTTTCAGAATATGAAGTCAGAACAACAGGATATAAATTTTTAGGCCTCATGCAGTCCTGATATAAATTTTGAATTTGAAAGCAAATATGCAATGACCCGTCTGTATCCCCATGCAGAAATTTTAGCTGAATTTCTGTCTGCACATTTTCAAGAAAATCCTACAAAATCTGCATATTTATGACGGAAAAGTTCCCCACGCAAAAATAATACTTTACAGTCTGGGCAATTTATAAGGCCGATGGAATTAAGGTATCAGTTTACCGTCACCTAAAATTTCGAAAGTTTATGCAGAGTTTTTTCATTATTCATTATTTTTCACGATTTGAATTTGTCAAGTTTTGAATTAAAAATTCAAATTTCGATCAAAGTAAATATATAATTATAGAATATACTACACAGTAAAATTTGTAATTATATTTTCAAATCATATTTACTTGCCTACTTTGACAGTCGCAGGCACAGAGTGTAAAGTCGCCCAGAAATAAAAGACGATCAATAAATATTAAAGTAGGCAAGTAAATATGATTTGAAAATATAAAATTCATTACAAATTTTACTGTGTAGTATATTCTATAATTATATATTTGCTATATACTGATACACGTCTGGGCCGCGCCTGTGAGCTTCCGAGCTATCAGCTATGTCTTTGACTCCGTTTTGCTGTGGCTTCGCTAACTGTATAAACAAAGTCAGTATTTGCCAAAAATTTCAACAGATAGCCATTTTTGAAACTCTTGCTATACAAATTTGACAAATAATGAAAAAAATATTGAAATAATGAGAATTTCACGCGGCTGCCAACAACACACGCGGGTGGGTGACGGTAAACTGATACCTTAATAATTCCATCGGCCTAATCAGCTAAAATGTCAATCTACTGATACTACTGATGTCTGATATTTATACAATTAGACTCATATTTAATAGTGACATATACTTTTGGATAGAGATACCAGAGTAACTGTACCTGGGCAGCCAGGCACGTTACTTAAGAAAATACTGACTGTGTGAAACCCGTGGTGAAACATGCAAAACAGCCACAGAGGCACTTGGAAAAATATATAATTAAAATGCCAATTTGGCAATTTTATATTGGATATTTATATAACTTTTCAGACTTCCAGTCCCTATCATTAAACATTTAATTTAGGCATGTTTATTCCCATAAAAATATATGAAAATATGACAAAAATTTCTTACTCACCCGCCATTTTGGTTGGATCTCAGTTTCTGAGTTTCACCCAAGCTTCTCCTCATAATCCCTTTGCTTTCCTTGACCAATGGGCCAGTGTCCCTCAGTGTACTTAGGCTGCGTTCAGACTGAGTGCCCAGCACTGGGACACAGCCTTAGGAGGGTCTGAATGGGGTTAACTGACTACTCACGTATACATTTGCCTGAATTTTTGACTGACAACTGACAAAATATCCTAACTGACAACTGAGAAATGATGAAAAAATGATGAGTCAGCTTTTTTGCAGTAACTGACTACTGACACTTGCCATATATCGCACTGACAACTGGCTTAAATTTTAGCTGACAACTGACACCCAAAAACCCCCATTAAGACCCTCCCTTAGGCTCGATCCAGCCGTTGGGCTACAGCGTTCTACAGCGTACTATGATCAGACACCTCCCCTCTGTTGAGACCCGTCGGAAAATTGGAAATTCCTTGCAAGATTGATGATGGTAACAGACTTAATAGTCTGTGTGCTGTGACCTCGAAATTCGAAAAGTGCCTAGAATACGAGATTAAGCATGTCTTAGATCTGAAATATTTTTACGGGAACTAACACTTTCGAACACGCCGAGTTCAAATCCGAAAAATTCCCGGCCATTCCGTAGACCCGCAGTTTACTCACAAAATGCTATTTTGTCTTCACCAATTTCACAGAACATTTTTTCATTGTTCAACGACACGGATCGATGAAGATACACGATTATCTCACTCAAAAGGACCAATTTCTATTAACCAGTCTTCCTTTTAACAAAAGACCGGTTTTGCTCGAATCATTTTGAGTTATGCAATCTTATGCGTGTTGGACGTAAACAACATATCTTGTCTACAACTTTGAGCTGTGAAATTGGTGAAGACAAAATAGCATTTTGTGAGAAAACTGCGGGTTCCCGTAAAAATATTTCAGATCTAAAGCCTGGTTCACATATATGCCTGCGACGTGCCTGCGACGTACCGGCGACGATACCGGTGGTAGCTTAAAACGTGAATTATGTGAATATTTGTTCACCGATTGCCTTCAGTGCCACAGTTACATCGGCGGTTGGCCGGGAAAGTTGACTTGAGTTCAACTTTGCCGGTATTTCGGCGGCAAGTAGAGGCATAATGATACAGTCGCAGGCATACCGCAGGCATATGTGAACCAGGTTAATGAAAATCGTTTTCTAGGCACTTTTCGAGGTCACAGCACACGGACTAGACCTGATTGGTCACCAATCAGACCTATTTGGTTAGCGGTAGTGGAAGTCATATCCGAACCTCGCTATTGTCGGTCGAAAGGCACCAATGTGAAAATGCTGTGCTGAGTGGTTATATTACTACCTTAAAAAACAAGCAGAAACTCGACGTTTCGAGCGAAGGCCCTTCGTCAAGAGTTAGCAGCCTTCGCCCGAAAGGCCAACGTACACGACCAATAATGTTGGACAATGTTTGTGTATGACCGAGTGATGACACTCCCTATCATCCAATAAATAAAAAACATGATTAGGCGAAGTTCAACTTCCGATGTTTTGTAAACATCTCTTAGTATATATCAATTCAAAAGTGCCCTTTCACGAAAATCTGCCCCCCTTGCCTTCACATCGTTCCGGCGTCCCTGTCACACACAACACTCTTCTACCCAATTAGAAAGCAGTATTTCGTAGGAAACTCTGGAAAAAACGTACTTTCAATGTTCTAAACATGCTAACGTCAAACTTATTTGTACGTTACTTCGTCGGTTGAAATTTATTCGCAAGCTAGTTCACAACACGAGAATCTATAGTAGTACAGTATTTTGTTAATATAAGACTGAATCAGTTAATAAATGTTGGCAAATTTCCCCCTTTAAATTTAATTACGTGATGTTCATTAATTCGATTGTTCTGACTAAAACTGTTCACATACCATGCATGCATTCAAAATTAATTAAATGTAAATTAATTATCCCTAATAATGTCACGTCCATTCTCAATCATCTAAATTTTATGTTCTGACTGAAATTATTTGAGATTCATTCGTTTTCGCTCGTTTTATGTGAGATCCATTTCTTCAGCAACACGAGTTCCGTTTTTCTCGCAGCCACAACAGCTGGAGGATCTTTAGGATTTGAAGATCGTAGGTCGAGGTGGTGTGCGGCTCCGTCAATCAATAAAGCAACAAGGGTATCTGAAAGGGACTTGGGAACACCGCCCTCTTTCCAAGGATCAAGCGCACCATTTGAGAAAATAATATTGGAAGCTGAACTGATTGAATTTCCCCACAGTGATGTTGCAAACCAGCCTGGTCTTTGTGTAACTCCCCATGTCTTCTGACAGTACGCGTCTCTCATCTCCAGTGTCCACGCTAATGGCGCAAACATATCCGTGACGTTGTTAGTCCCGCTAGCTAAATACAGCTCAGTACAAGCTTGGTAATCCCAAGCTAAACTGTTAGGACCAAGTCCACAGCCAGTTGGATCAGAACAAGAAATGTATTCAGTAAATGGATCAAAGCAAGACAAAGTATCATTACTAGTACCATTGTAGAACAATCCAGTACCCAAGACAAGTCCTTCTAGAGCATCATCAGCACCCATAATTAGGTCTGCCGTGACATTTACAGGATTGGCAGGAAGTTTCCCAAAGAATGAGGATGCATATGGATAATCACCCATACACATCATTGCAAACGCGTTCCGGATCCAACCGATAAGGTGATCAACTTGTTGGGCAGATTCAAGTACTTTACAAAGTCGAAATTTCTTGGATATTTCCTGCAATCCAGCAGCACCGGAATCTCGGAGCTTCTGGAGTTCCGTGAAAGCACTTCTAACACGTGTAGGGCACTCTTCTTGTGCAGCCTGGAAGTCAGCGGTCACAACCTCCCAAAATGAATGATTATTAGCCAAACCTGCAGCCAGATATATAGGAGCGCTTGCTGCCAAAGCCGCGTCCACAACGTTCGGATATTTAAACCGGAAGTAAGCACTCAACATTCCTCCGTAACTTCCGCCTAGTGCAATGACTGGATTATCTGTGGCACCAAGTTTTGCCTTGATATGCTGTATAACCAGGGCATAATCAGCAATAGCTTGCTCTATGGATAAATAACCGATTTTATCGTGGTCAAAAGACTCGGTACCAAACGGTAACGACTTGCCATAATAGCGATGCTCTATAAATAAGATGTAACCACTTAACTCTTTAGCAATTTCAAAGGTAAACCCTGCGCTGCTCCAGAAGCCTTCCACGTCGCCTTCATTTCCAGTATAAACCACAAATGGACCATTATCCCAGTAAACATCTGAGTAGAGATAGCGTTGTTCAAAAGTTAGGTTTATATCCCAGTTAAAATGGTCCACGACTTGTGTGTACGTTCCCACATTGTAGTCTAATGAATTACAATGTGCGAATAATCCAATCAGGAAGAAAATAAAAACCAAAAAGCGACTCATATTCGATAAGTGCAAAAATGGTCACGCACGTTTAAAAGGATATCAGCGTTCCTGGCCGTTGATTCCTTTTTCATTCACCCGTGCAAATGAATAACGCAGTAAAGTGGAGAAAGTATCGTTTGATTTGATGACTCACCTTAGGTAAGCAATCTAGTAAACAGTCGAGCTCACACTCTCCTCCGCAGAGTCTGAATTATATAGGATTTGTAGGGATAGTAGAGGATATTTAGTGGTGCGCGACGGGGGGGTGAGATCGATGGTTGACAAAATCATACCTTGCGTAATTTGTCCTCCCCCCCTTAATATTACGCAATTTTACTAAAAATTCGTAAGGCTCTGCGGAGGAGAGTGCTCGAGCTCACATGACTGATACCAGCAGGTGGTAATAAACGTCTTCAGGAAGTGTCGAATTTAATAGAAAAATGCAACTACCTGAAAAATAGAACAAGCTTGAAGAAGAACTCACTCCCCCCCCCCCTCCCATCTAATACGTAAAGTCAAGTTGCGCCCCTGGTCATTGCCGTAATTCAGACAGTTTAATTAATTTATGTTTAAAAACTGCCCGATCAACTAGGCCTTTCCCGATTGCGCTGAGCACTTTTTGAGCACTTTTTTTAGTTTGGAGCACTATTTTGCATGTTGAGCAACCTTGAGCACTTCTTCACACTTTGGGCTAGAGGTGTGCGTCGGATCGGATTGACCTCTCTCAATCCGATGGTTTGTCTAAGTTCTCAATCCGAATCCGATCCGATCCGAAGATGAAAAAAGTAATCCGATCCGATCCGAAACAATGTTTATAAAATCCGATCCGATGCTAAAATTCGTAATCCGATCCGATCCGAACTTAAGTTGTGTACGCTGTACAGCGTGCGTTAATTATTATGAACGTATTTTTTCATGATCATAAACGATATATTGGAAATAATGAATTTCTAGCAAAAATAAGCAGATACGAATCCGATAAAAATTGCAGGGCGATATCACATAATTATGCCTTATAGCGTTCACATTTACAGTACACAGTAACAGCAGTTTATATTTTATTAGAATTAGCATAGAAAAAAACCCAACTAGTCAAAAATGTTTTAATCAGTATAATAAATCATGAGCTTGAGCTAGGTTTACATTTTAAAACATCTTAAAGTTTATCA